TTATATATGTTTGAAGTCTGTTTTAAATACGTCCAAAATTAAAAATTCTTAAAAATCTATTTCTCTCAAAATGTTATACTATTGTATTCATAAACTTCTACTATTTAAAGAAAACTTTAAAATATCAATGTATACTCTAATAATATAAAAAAAAATTGATTTTTAGAATAAAGAATATTAAAAGATTCAATTAAAAGATAAAATTCTTTGAAGAATATTAAAAATTGATCTTACATATGACGCGATATTTAAACAGATTCTAAAATGATGTACTGTTTAAACATCAATAAAAACATATATAAAACGTCAAAAAAGATTAATTTTTAATATTCTTCAAAGAATTCCTAAAAATCATCAATTTTTTAATGCTTGTAGAGTAGACTGGGCTCTTAATTGATGAGGAACAATCATGTCGGTAACAACATATTCTGCTACGAGATAACATTTTGGAATTTCAGATTTTTAAAGGAAGGACGTAACTCGTCCACAAGCTTGACGAATGCTAGTTCAGGAGCGCTCACGGAACTGGAGATCGCGGAAATCCGGCGCAAGATTGAACGGGCGAATGCGGAGCAAAAAGTGTACAATGAGGAGGCGTTCGGACCGTTGGCCAGCGACGCACCGATTATAGTCATCCAAGTGCACACGCGGCTCACTTATCTGCGACACCTTATCGTCTCGCTTGCGCAGGCTAAGGATATCGAGCAGGCTCTTCTCGTATTTAGCCACGACATCTGGCATCCGGATATCAACTATCTCGTGCAGAGCGTCGATTTTTGTCGGGTCATGCAGATCTTTTATCCGCACAGTATACAGACTCATCCTCGTACGTTTCCTGGCGAAGGACCCAACGACTGTCCGCGAAATATTCGCAAAGAACAGTGAGTTCAAATATTGCTTCGTTATTTATAATGCATCGCCAGGTTTCTCTTGATCGAATTTAATTGAATTTTGCGCTCTTCTTCACAGGGCCTTAAACTTAAAATGTACCAACGCCAAACATCCGGACTTGTACGGCCACTATAGGGAAGCTAAATTTACGCAGACGAAGCATCACTGGTGGTGGAAAGCGACTAGGGTGTTCGAACATTTGTCGGCAACGAGAAACCACAGCGGAATGGTCCTTTTCCTCGAGGAGGATCATTACGTCGCTGAAGATTTCTTACATGTGCTCAGACTCATGGAGCGCACGTGTAAGCTCAGTTGCGAGAGATGCAATGTTCTGTCGTTGGGTACATATTTAAAGACGTACAACTATTTTACGGATTTTAGTCGTAAGGTGAGAGAGCTTCTTTTATATATATATATATATTGGCATTCGTACAGTCTTAATCTTGCTTTACGCGATGTTCCATGCACAAGAGATGAGGACTACGAATACGGGCGGGTACACGTTAACAAGAGACCCATTTTTAGGCAATCGCATCGGCAATGCGTAGACGGTCTGACGTTTATTTAGCAATTTACGCACTTATGTCCTCAATCATATAATTAAGCAAATAATAATGATTTCTCACCGGCACATAAATATATTATTGCTAACGCTTGGTAACGTGACAATATCTGGCAAAATTAGCACGCGTGTTATCGATAAAACGCGCTTTCTCGCTTTTAAGCGACACGTATATTTCTCTCTTTGATTAATCCGACACGCAGAATTCTCGAAACAGAAATATCGAGTCGTCGCACCGCTGCACGTTTACGATGTTAAACGTATCCGACATATCATATGTTCACCATTAGTGTGTCTATGTCGATGTTTCACGCACGCCCGATCCGTTAGTTCCTCGGCGTCGATAGCGCTCTGCAGAAGGAGCTGCTTCGTGGGCTAAAGCGGCAGGAGGTATCGACGTTGAAGCAGAGACAGCAGATCGGCAACAGGATCGGCGACAGCATTGTCACCACCGTCAACGGCGATGGTAGCGATGGCGTTAATAACGCCGCTGGTAACACGCCCGGTACCGGTAACGAAAGTACTGGAAGTGGCGGCCGAGGTGGCGGCAGCGTCAACATCGGCGGTAGCGGCGTGTCCTCCACCTACTATCAGAACGCGAACACGATGCAAGCGGCACCCGCGTGGGCCTTTCAACTCCTGCCTAGCCTCTACAATCATTATCAGAAGGTTCTCGAGAATCCCGCCCGAATAGCAGCAACAAAACCGCCTGCCGCCTTAGATACTTTGTTTCTTTCTCGCACAGCTCCTTTTGTTTTCTCGCTTTACCCCTTTCGTGTTATCTCTATGAAAACGCGAGTAGTATCTTGCTCGTTATCCTCTCAGTAAACTTTATACATTGCCAAATTTTGCACTGCTTCTACCAGTATCGATTCAAAGACACACTGTGTGGCGATCGATTGTGTTAGCTCAGATTGCTTGACGTTGAGTTAGAGGACTGAGAAGCTCTTTTTGTCCTGTAGAGAAACAGTAGAGCATTACCCGAATTCTTTATAGACAAATATTGATTCAACGTTCAATATTATACAGCGTATTGTCTTACATCTATCCCAATTACATAACATAGGTGGAATTCCTTTGTAGATGAATTTTCATTTTCTCGAGACAGAGTAGTGCATGCTTCGAACATCATACAAACACGATACAAAGTCATAATATAATTGACCGGATGTCGCCGTGAGCGTACGAAGTTTGTTCGCAAGTCATAAAGTATGGTGATTTGGACAAAAATAAATGGCAAGCTTGGATTGAATACTGGAATTCTATCGAGAAATGCGATTGAAATTCTGACTTTGTCTCAACTGATCGCTTTACGTGTAGACATAGCGTAGTATTGATTAGTTTCTCCAGTAGATTGTATGTTACATAAGAAGATGCGAAAAGTTGCGAAATTATTATCATCTGATTTTCTTTGTTCTGTCGAGACAGGCGGAAGTGACACCGTGGATATCCAGCAAACATAACATGGGCATGGCATTCAATCGCATCACGTGGAATAAACTGCGAAAATGCGCCGCGCAGTTTTGCTCATACGACGACTATAACTGGGACTGGAGTCTGCAGTACATCGCGCAAACATGTCTGCCGCCTAGCCGAGGCGCCGGGATAGCGCCTCGCGCTGAATCCGGATTGATCACGATGACGATGAGAGCTCCTAGAGTCTTCCATATCGGAGAATGGCAAGTACAACAGCGCATTGTTTCGCATCATAAATTCAATCCCTTTAATTTTCGTCCTGCGATCCGCATAGTACTTTTCTGTTAATCATTAGTGGACATTATTTGCAAGCATTTAGTTTCGGCATTAAAATGTCTCTAATTAAATATGTATTTGCCTTTACAGTGGAGTACATCATAAGAAGAACAATTGCGAGTCGACAACGGTGATAGCAAAGGTTCAAAACGTCTTGAAGGCGGCGCGCAATCATCTGTTTCCTTCGCAATTAACGTTGACGATCGCTGGAACGGCGAAGAAGACGAAACTCCGCAAGGGCAACGGCGGTTGGGGAGACGTACGGGATCATCAGCTTTGCTGGAATATATCTGTATACTCAGATCTAGTTTTGCCATGAAGATCTAAAATTGCAAACTTTGATTGGTTCTGTTATACAACGTATTGCAAATTTGTAATACGAAAAGCTATAGTTACTGAACAATTGTCGAGTATCTATCGTGATAAGTCTATCACGGCAATCTAGCAATATATTCAACAGTACCGTTCTTACAGAATATTTAAAAATGTTTGGTAAGATGGTACATACAATAAGGGGGACTTCTAAAAAATCTCCATTGTTCTACAAATCGATTTTGAAATGCGCTGAACGTATTACCATCGCTGTCAATCATGATCGTAAGACCGCTGTCACTGCCAGGAATAGAAGGTTTCTTCTGCGAATGCAAGTATTCATGGACGTTTTGTTGCGATAGAACGTAATATTGAAGATAGAGAATTCGACGGTGAGTTCAAATTGGTGCTATCCTGAAAGAAAACAGTTTTTTACAGTATATTTAATTTGCTAATTAATCTGCTAAGTCACATCCGCTGTATAGATGCAAAACAGTAAAGACACTAAAAATTATGTTGCTGTAGATAAATTGGCGAAAAATAGATTTCGCACAGTTAAGAAGGCGAAATTCGACGCGCGTTGATAATGTATCAATGAAGAAAGAGGAGATTTACTTACTCAGCATTGCGCTGTCTACAAAAATAGTGTGATAAAAGCATTGGTAATAAGACGTTGCGTTTTCTCATATTATCGTGTTTTGAACTGCTGCTCGCGGAACACGCGTACTCGCTCGAAGAAAGAGTAATCTTTCATAAAGGACGATATGCGAAAATACACGATAGACAGTTGTGTTTGATTAAACTTAAATATATATTATCATAATATTCTAAAGGCCTATATGACAAGACAGCGGAAAATGTATTTAATTTTCATGTCACCAATTCTCTATGACGGAAATGCAAGCGAACATTCGTATAAAACTGCAAAACCAAAGCGATATATAGAGACAAGAAAGGCTACACTCTGTATTTCTGTAACATCATGACGAAATTAGCGTCTCTGCTTCCCGACTAGCTTCTATCTGTTCTTTTTGAGATGCAACGCTGGACAGTGAATCAGCATCATAATCTCGATCACGAAATGCGCTCATCATATTCTAGTCAATGTGTATAACGTAACGCTAAAGCTGCAAGTATTTAATAATCGATCGTAGAGAGTAAGCATAAAAATAATGATAAGCTTAAAATTAAGGTTTCACACCTACTACTAGTGATACGCCCGTAAAGGCGCTCTAACGTCTTGTAACGACCTCGGGGATACGAACGTAATGAATGTCATGTACCTTTTATATTTATAACAATAAAACAACATGCAACGAAAATAGATAGAATTCGTTAAAAACTGCTTTATGTAGTGTAAAGTTCTTGTTTCTGCAACATTAATAATGCTTTCAGGAATGAACTTGCACTTTGAAAAAGATACATGACTATATTTAAGAATACATGCGTTTCGTTTTTCGTGAAAATTAAGTATCGATAACTATTATTAATTTGTTATAATTTTATTTGTTCTTTTCATTTTGAACAATGACATAAATTTGCGATACGCTATTCTTATAATATAATTTTAAAAAATAGTAAAGAAATATTTCTTTTTTAAAAGATTTTCTAAAAGTATTAATAGTAAGATTTAAAGTAATGTAATGTAAGAAATTTAAGTTTTTATATACTTGTATTTATCTAAAGCTTGATATCGTATATGATTGATTAAAGATTCAGATGCTTATGATAGAGAGGCACATTGTCATCGTACTCTGCTAGCATAAAGTTACCAGCGATTGGACCTTCCAAATTATATTTTTCTGCAAACTTCTTGATGGAAAATCTCTTTCGTTGACTTCCATCCCTATAATCAGAGGAAATAAAAGATGTATTATCAAACATCCGGTCGTACGCGGTACAGTGCGGTACAACGTTTATTCACCAAGTACTCAATCTTCTTTCGTCAAAGGTAATAGCACCCTGATTTTGTTTATAAATGAGAAACACATAGCGATGTTTTCCGGTATCTTTTGGTGGAGCAGGACCGACGTACTCTGCTAGAATTTCGCCTTTAGCTACATTTTCTTCCGGTATATTACCCACGAGCCAATGTCGGAATTCTCGGTTGTATCCTCCCCTCCTCGGAACATCAGGATCTATGATATAGAATACGTTCAGACGCAAAAATTTTACGAAAAAAATGCCTACATATAAGAAGTAATGAAATAATATTAGAACTAATTAAATCGAAATTAATTTTAATATTCCAAAATATTAGATATATTTGCACATTGTTATTAAATTTACATGAGTCTCAACTTGATAATTAAAATGCCAGCGGATCTTCGCGTCGCGAAATAGTGACGTAGAGAGAAAACTGGTTTCCGAGACGGTGAAAGTTAAACTGATCGAGGATAGCGCATTTGACTATCTCGTGATTTATATAGCGTGGAACACACGTCACAAATATTGAGGAAAAACTTACTTGCACTCGGAACATTGTAGAATCAATTACATAATTCAAATGATTTGCACAAATTTTACCTGTCATAACGAGTGTATACAAAACCCCGCCTTCGTGTTTATAATGTATTTCGGGTATCTCATGAGTTTCAGTTGGCGTCAGCTCGGTTCCCAAATTGACCACCTTATCGCCGTATTTTACCTGAATAATGGAAAATCGTTTGCTAAATAATCCCGCGATACAATCGCCATCGACGATTTCTAAATCGTTTTAAGCTCATATTGTTATCTAAATTTTAATCTGAAAATCTCATCTTTCAGATAAATGTTGTGAAAATGCATTATTAAACTTGGCAATCGGTAAAAGTTTTAGCTGCATAATCAAACATTTCAAAAAACAGCAAAATAAAATTAGAAATCTCTAAAATTAAATTCTTACAAGTATCTGTACATTTTCAGCAAATACATACCTCGATCTTTTCTGTTGGTGCCTTATCTATGATATCGGGCTCAATATTTGCTTTTTTAAATTCCGATTCCACATCGCCTAACGAGAAGCCAATAGCACAGAGAAGAATTCCTAAATTATCATGGAAAAAAATTTAAATTGAAAAGTGAAACAAGTTATCACTAAGTAACAATTTTTGCATTGAAACGGAAATGACATTTATATGATTTTCTTTACACGATTAGTATGTAAAATAAGCAAGACTGAGACACAACAAACCTGATATTAAATACTTCATATTTGATGACACTGTTTTCAGAAAGATACAACGATTATTAACGAAAGAATTCGTAAGAGATAGGTTTTAAACATGTATCCCCACCAGCTTTCTTGTCACAAGGCCGATCTTGCCGGCCTTTCTTCAACATATATATATAACTATCATCGAGTAAAAAAGAAAAAATCTTTATTCAATGATAACTGTACACAAATGATATAAAACTGAATACACAAATTACATAAAACTTAATACACAAATTACATAAAACTGAATACATAAATTATATACATATAATCGAGCTGACGAAAAAATCGCCTGCAAAATAATGTAGCCTGTTCCAAAGAATGCAGAAGTTTTTTCTCTTTCTTCTTAGTAGAATCAAAACTAATTTTTATAACATTAACGTCAGTATATAAACTTTTAATTGTTATTAAAATTTTTTTGATATTTTATCTTGTTTTATATTTTTATTTTAAAGGTAATTCGCAATATAAAATATTAGGTACTTGTAAAAGAAAATATCATGAGTGTTGATAATTTCTTATTTCACATAGTAATAAGAACAAGTTTATTACTATTAGTTTTGAAAAATTTGTACAAAAGCTGTTTGCAGATTTTACTTAAAGTATATTTATAGATAAAAAAAATCTGCATGTTATTTTCTTAATTTAAAAAAGACAATATGCTGAAAAGAATATTTAATATGCATTTATTCAACAAATAGTTTGATATACAGCATTATGTATACATATGTTCCATTGTGAATATAATTGTACAAACTGTATAAATTTAACCTTCGAGTTGCTTATAAAGAATTGGTACATAATCGTCGAACTCTGCCTGATACATATTACCAGCAATCGGATCACCAAGTTTATATTTAGCGGCAAAGTTTTTAATAGAGAACTTGCCGCGGTTATCACCGCTTCGATTGGTTAAGCGCTTCTCGTCAAAGGTGAGCTTGCCAGGTTGTTTGTACAACAGGAATACATATCGATGAAGGCCTGTACCTTCCGGAGGTCCGGAACCGATGTACTGGGACAGAACATCTCCTTTGGAGACATCCGATCCAGGGATATTGCCTACCAACCAGTGATGCCATTCACGAAATTTGGGATTTTGTCTGCTCGGAGCATCAGGATCTGTTTAAATGTTAAAATAGAACATGAACCATAAATATTTATATATGTATAACAATTAGTCAAATTGGATTATTAAAAAATCCAGAGCAAGTGTGAAATAAGCCTATAATTTATTAGTTTAGACACAATTGCATATTCAATTCTAGAAAAATATATTAAAGTCAAATTTCTGTCAGAATAATTTTCTCCTCTTTTCATTATTTTCTTTTCAGAACAATAAAAATAATTATAAACCTTTTATTATTTACAATTATTATAATTTATATAAAAAAAATCAAAATCAAAATATTTACAGATTTTTTAATCTATTATAAACACAAAAAGAAAGATTCAACATAAATAACTCGAGTTTATAGCTTATGTTGTGATTCGAGTAGTATACAATTGTAACATTGAAATAAATCTTATAGATTGCACACACTCTTGCTCTGAAAAGTTTGATTACAAATTTATATGATGACATTTTTATTCACCAGTCATGCACAAAGTATAAAATGAGTTTGCATCTGCGTTCCACTGAACAGTAGGCTGATCCTTGACCTGAGTCGGAGTTAGCACCTTGCCAATTTCAACAGTGAGATTATTGGGATAGGTGACATTCAGCACATTTGCGGGCACCTTATCCACCACGTCTGGTATAACTCCATGTGTCTGTAAAGCCTGAGCCATGGATGACAGTAAGCGTGTTCCTGTTTGCGATATCGCTGCTGAAACTCCTACAAACACAAGATATTGAATCCATTACTACGCTAGCCTTAAAAGAGGTAAGAAGACAGTGAGAGATCAACTATACAATATTTGGTGGTACAATACACCGTACATAACATCTGGCACTTTTTCGAAACGATCATTATAATATATCGTACATAACGGTTCATTGTACCATCAAGTACTAAAAAACGAAATGAGGTCGATTCGCCGGTAAAATAAAACAATGAATGAAATCGAAAGAGCACTCCCGTGTCATTTAATACCCAAACAGTAGATCGCAACGAACAACGCGATTCTGTGACGCAGCAACATTTTGCCGAGAAACGAGCGGCACGACCAGACAATTCACGAGTGAATGACAGGATCTTTCTTTCGTGACCCGGATCAACCCGACCGTAAAATCACGTTGGTGCGTTTGCACGTAATATGTGTATGTGTGTATATAATTGCGAGAAAATATAGTTTCCGAGAAATTTGCTATTACTTGCGGCGAGAAGGGACATGACAGAGTATGTGCACTTGCCGGGTATACGTGAATGTACAGAGGACAAATAAGAGAACGGGGAGAGACTGGAACGCGCTGTATGCTGTATCTCACTTACCCCACTCGTCGTCCACACACGGCCGATAATGACAATTATCAGCCTATCTGTTGTATAACTATAGATCAGACTATAGACTTTTCGATCGTGTTTACGTGACTTTTGTTATGAATGATGTACATATACAAGTCGAATAATGGCTCTTACTTCCTATGCACGCAATGCACGATAAATAGGAGGTAAACAGCAATGAAATCGTTGAGTCGATAGCGTAAAATTATGCCGGTCAATGCGAGCGTCGTAAACAGCGGAATATCAATCAAAATAATAAAAGAAATCCTTTCCGGCTATCATCGAACGCGTGAGTTTTTCGTCCGCGAATGAGAGCGCGATCCATACAAATAATCTGTACAAACTTGAAACAAATTTTACAATGTATAGGAAATTGTAAAAAAAATAGAAGTGTATATTATTGGTTGAGATATACGAAATATTCGTAAATAATTATCTTTACGGAAATGCGAGTATTATTATACATTTGGACATTCGAGAAGTTTTCGTAATTAAAAGGATGGAGGAAATTTCTGGCAAAGTTTCAGAAGAGAAAATGGATTACATCACATCTCTTCCAATTATATAACTTTTAAGTAGATGTATGTACATAATTTCTAGTAGTTTAATAGAATTTAAATTTGAAGCAGAGTTATAAGAAGAAAATTATATCTGGGTAGCTTTCTAATAATTAATTATAAAAGGATCTTATCTAAGATATTAATAATTACATTTATAGCAATTATATATTATATTTTTCAGAAGCCTTTTGTGCAATTTTTAATTTTAGAATAATATGTGACATGTATAAACATATCTTTATAGTAAAACTGAATTAATAATCAGTTCAACAATGTTCAATAAACTATAAATTAATTTGGGATTTACTAATTACTCCATTAAAAAGTATGAATATAATAATAATAGATTATCACATTTCAGAAATGCGCAAATAAAATGGGTATAGATCCTAAAATTGCCAAGCGTGGTTGCCGATAAACGGTAATGTCCAGAACTTCCTTGCCGACTCAGTCAATCATTACCGATGACAGCGCGCTCTACGATACGATTACTCCAACAGCCTTGAGCCACCTCGAGCTCAGCATACCTGCCTACCACACGGAAGGTCGATCACCTTCTTCTCTAGCCTCGTCGATCGGAGGAATTCCAAAACATTTGATCTCAGAGTTTGCTAATTACAAAGTTCGGGAAACGAGTGAAGCGGCGTTTATAGTTTTTGGAGATTGCGATTTATCAACGACGCTTCCATCAAGCTTCACGTATGTCAGACTCAACATAATCTACGAATGATCGGGAAAGGTGGGCGTATCTGTTCGGGGATAATTCCGAGTGACAGTCGTCTGGCGGTGGCGAGATCCGCGTCATCGCGGAGGATGCACGCTGTAAACGCTTAGGGAAACGAATTATGGAGTCGGGGAATCGCCGCGCGCTCTTCGGCAAAGGTGGTGAATGCGCGCGTATCCTCGGGGATCCCTCATCCCTCTTGACGTGACACCTGGCGTCCAAACATGCACCAAAACAGACGTAAGAAGAAGCGAGTGAACTACGGTGTCAGAGCGGTCGAGGTGATCCGCGGCGCGAAGGGCTTCGGCTTCACGATCTCGGGTCAGCAGCCATGTATCCTGAGCTGCATCGTGCAGGGCAGCCCAGCGGAGGGAGCCGGTCTACGGGCCGGCGATTACCTGGTCGCCGTAAACGGCCACAACGTCAGCAAGGTGCCGCACGACGACGTGGTACAGTTGATTGGGAACTCCAAGGGAGTGCTGCGACTGCAGATCGCCGAGAACTATTACTCCGACTCGGATGAGGAAGGTTTAGCAACCGTAAGATCCAAACCCAAGTACGCCCACAAGCCACGGGTTGCTAATGCAAGTGCCTTACAGCTGCAATGTAGAGCAGCGAAAGTAGTTAGAGACCTGCAGAGCGGGGCTATGTTTCACACATCGCTTGGCAATGTGGTATCTGATAATAAAGATCAATACAATTATTCCGTCCTGCATTATCGTTGGAATATGACGAGTCCACTTCCACCACCGCCGCCTCCGGTGTCTCATAAACGTGACACTGAAAAGATAGTGCATAGAACAGTTGTTGGTTATCTTGGTACTATCGATATACCAAATCAGTTGCACCCATCTTGTATGATGCAGGTACGTTTTCTTTAAATATACTCTAGTCTTCATTTCTCAATTTATATGCTTAATTAATTATAAGTTTAATCAAACAGCTTAATACTAAAATACAATGTGTTTTATTATTGCAGGTTTTGAGAAAATGCATCAAAAGGCTGAAAGCGGAAAAGCGAAATCCAACTACTGTTCTTCTCACTATTTATGTTGCCAATATTAAACTCACCAATTCGGAAAATCGCGTCATTGCCGAATACCCCTCGTATCGAATAATATTTTGTAATTCGTTTTCCGAGCAAGATAAACAGTATTTTGGAATATTAACAAAATCCATGAAGAATACGGACGACATTGTCTCGAATTCGTGTCACGTCTTCACTATTTATTATAAATTGATCGATCATGAAGTGCATTCCAGTGCGTGTAACGTGTTTGGTTTTACGTGTACAAAATCATCGGAGCTAAATGTTTGTCAAGAATTTCCTGACAGTTGTACGAGTCTTATCGGTGCCATACAGACGTTGTATATATCTGATTGCACGAATGGAGAGAATCCGTACAATGAAGCGCGCATACGACTGGACGCTGCTTCTCCTCAACCGAGCAACGTTAGTACGTCAACTGCTCATTCGAGCAATAGTGATTCTGGAATTGGTTTTAAAGATGATTATGGCAGCTGTTCGGGTCAAAACACGGCAAATGATTGCGAACGAAGAAGGCAACATCCTTCCAATGTGCAATATAAGGTACTTTCTATTAATTACATTCTTATTTTATAAATGCTATTTTTCATATATAAACGCAGTGTATATATCCCATAAATACAAAAATCCTTTCAATAACTTAAAAAAATTTAATTTATTTAGTATTCATATTTGAAATAAACAATATTTCATAGACACAAGATGTTAAAACGCGATTTATCACTCTTGCTCATTCTATTCTACATATTCCACGATTTATATTCTAGCTCATAGATAACTCTCATTTCCAGAATATAAGCGCGCGATCGTCCAGAGAATCTGCTAGTGAGGCTGCTGAGCACCGTTTGACAGTTCGCGCGATCTCGGAAACCAGATGGAGTAAGGAACCAAAATTCATCGATTTTTCTAAAGGTAACTTGATATGATACTTTGAAACTGTCGCAATATGCATTTTTTTCCTATTTTTGAGCCATCTTTTCGCATTTTTTTTTCTTTTGGGCTTTTCCTGCTCAGATAATGCATTTCTAAGCTTCTCTTAACACTTAAATTTATATATATATATTTATTTATTTATTTATTTATTTATTTATGAGAATGACGAAATTGAACCTGGGTCTTTCATAGAGCAATTGTTTTACACTCAACTACTCAGACCTTATTTTTTGGCGGTGAAATAAACGCGAGTTGCAATAGAAGTAGTGGGGAAACTTACGAAATGTGCTTTTCACAGGGATGCGACATGTGGCGGGGAGTGGGGAGAGCACCACCTGCGCTGGAACATCTGCCCCTGTCGTGGCGGCCCATAGCGCATTGGCCAGTACGTCCGTTGGATCTCTCGCGTCGGTTTGTACCACGGCGTTGCTCGACGGCATCGAGGACGCCGCGGAATCGTCTAAAGCGGCATCGACAGCGAAACTCAAGCGTCTTATGGACACTACGAATAAACTCAGCCCGAAGGTATACTGCGGCCAGGTTACAAAATCGCTAGTGCATAGCTTGGAGGATATCAATTCTAGCATGGAATACGCGCGACCACCCTTCTGTCATTCGTATTCCAGCAAGTCTGACAAACCTCGTCCATGGGGAAGCCTACAAGAGATACGGAATTTCGGAAACAGCGTTTCGGGCAATTGCATAGTGAGTTGTTCTTTTAATTTATTTTTTTAGATTTTAAGAGAAACCTTATTTGCTCTTTGCCAGTTCACGTAAATTTAATATACAGTAATATGTCAATTTCGATAGATTTATAAAGTTGTGCCTTAATTATTCAGGCTTTTTATGGCCACGAGTTAATTAATTTGCATTGTTGAAAATATTTTTGTAGATGGTATTATAATACAGATGTCACAGTGTTTTTTAATTCAGATTTTTTATGTGCCGGATAGATAAAAAACGAGAAGCATTTACGCGATTAAATACTTGGGCATTTTTGAAACACATTTATCACATTTTATTTTTAAATCTTGCAATTTATTGAAATTTATTGAAAATTTATTTTAATAAAATTATTTAATTATTTATGCTTTGTTTTCGCCAAGAATAACAAGTGTTGATTTTATATTTGTATTGCCAAATATTCTTGCTTTTAGAAAAAGAAATTATTCTTTATAGATAATATATCTTTATTGATCTCTATAATCATTTTAATATTATTGTTATGCATTTTATCTAAACTATCGAAGCGATATTGTATTTTTTCACATTGAATAGCAAAACGCACACGATATGGTCATTCGTATATTTTTTCTGTCTATGGTTTTTATAATTTCTAATTATTACACACGCTGCCAAAATCTGTGCATCAGTAACGGTTAATGTCTCGGATGTCGGATTTGTCGTTGCTTCCGAACGATTTCCGGTTCCTCTCGTGTACTCGTTATTCAAGCTGCGTCATCGCGTTTCCTGCTTCTGATTTGCGCTCGCAGCCTGATATACACAGGCAAGGGTTAAGCGAAAACGAAACAATCAGAAAACTAGGTCTGCGCGAATCAGGTTCCCGCGTTTTAATTACGACACATACGCGCTCGCAAACGCTTACTTTATTTGGTATCTATTGCTTTTCTAGGAGAATGTACATGGGGATTACAACAAACTCGCGGTATGCAATTGATTCTGGCATCGAATCACCGAATTTGTGCAATACAAGTTCGTCAAGAATTGTACAGAAGAATATCTCGATGATCAACATGATCAACATTTTCTCTCCTCCGCGAGTTCCCCGACAAATTTCAAGCAAACGTATATCGTAAGAAAAATAATTGAAATTAATTAGAAATTGACTGATCTCTTTGAACATTACATATCTGCATTGCGATCTAAAATTTTTTGTATTTAATCGAAAAATAAAATCAGAAACTAGAAATTCGCGATAATTTGTTTTAATGTTCGGTGATTTCGAAAAATTAACGAGATTATTTATTATCTCGAAAGCTCGCAGCAACGAGCCACAAAACATTACCATTCTTAGATTCGTATAATGACACGATTTAATGTAATTGGATTGAATCAGAGTGAAACTTTTGCTTAAATCTTTCGCTGGCACAGAGTTGAAAATAGCTTCTAACAACTATGCTGCAACGAGCGCCCAAAGTAACAATAAAAAGAATGCTCCCGAGGTTGATGCACCACGTATACATTTAGGTGCATGAATAGATCTTACGATGATAGATACAGGGTCGGTTGCATAAAGGATATTGACACCTTACGCTTAGAATTTGCAATCTTTTCTCTCGTATCCTATATCCGTCATAAACAATCCTTAAGCGTGCTGTATCAACACAACGGAAAAATGATTGGAATTATTCCTGATTATATTATTGAATTATAATTTTTACGTAATCGAATCCCATGGATAACTTATATAAAATAAATTAACTTCGTTGATTTCATTATTGCCGGAGAATCTACAAGCTATCGTCTCATTTATCCGAGATGAAAGTTTTAAGATTATTTAACTTTAACAAAATTGCGTTATTTTTAATCATATACTTATACTAGATGTGTAGGGCAAAGTTACATTTATTGATATATCATAAAGATACCTTCCTTTGTTATATATCAATCCTCAAGGTTTAATCGTATATTCTTCCACATATGATCCTTAGGTATACAGCTCGCTTAAAATCATCCAATGCTCTTCTACATTAACGAATCCTTGTGTTCGGCTCTCTGCGTGCGGCCCTGCATAGATGTTTAAAAGGAGGTTGAGAGAAGAACACGGGGGAGACAGAGAGGGAAAGGCCATAACGCGGGCCCGTGGTAGTAGTGGTAGCGGTGAGAGCGGAAGAGACGAGGGACGAGTGGGGTCGGGACGATGAGAATGAATCAGTCGTGAGCAACGAGAGGCGAGGGGGAAGGGAAGTCGGGCCTTGTTCGAGCATCCATAAAGTGGCCTAGAGCCTCGGCGTTTCGTCGAGACGAACGCGGTAGTAACCGTGTGGCGTGCGGTGTGTGTGGTTGCACCATGTTCCCGATGATCACGTCGTTTGGGACCCGTTGTCTTCGTCGTCGTCGTCGTCGTCGTCAGTTCGTATAGTGTAACGCGTGTCACGTCACGTCACGTCGTCTGTCACGTCGCCTGTCACGTCGCCTGTCACGTCGCGTTGGGCGGAGCCCTCGTTATACGAGCGAATTGCTCGTTTTAGTTCTCATCTTGCTCTTTATCTATTCGCCAAAGTACGCGATCGCTATCGTTGTCCAGTACACACGTACGAGTCTTAATTCAAGTTAATAAATGACATCGCCGTTGTTGTACGCTTCTGTGAAAACGCGTGATCTGCGAGCGTGACATGGAAGCGCTGGCGAAATCGGTACGTAAAAGAAAAGAAAAAAAAAAAAGACATTTATTCGTTCATATCACCGCTGACGTTAATATCACTGATGCCGCTGATACCGTCAATGACTCATTGTTTGACGAGTTTTGACGAATTTGGAGCACATTCGTGCTTGGGGAAAGTGTCATCATCTTCATAATGTTCTGTGTGTTAAATATTTTAAATTGATGCGGTAATTCTAGAAGAGAAGGGTTTCATCGTGCACAAATAAAAATCGCGTTTAAGATAAATGTATCTAAAACAGTTTGTTTTATAAAATACTTGAAGCAATTTTTTTCACACACAATTAAATTAATAAAAGGAGTAAGCTCCATCGTACGCAGGATGTCCTTCTATCGCATTAAATTTGAGAGACATCCTGTATATCAGATGATTAAGTAATAAAGTGAGCAGAGGAGAGGTCGATGTTATAAACCAACATTGTACCTACGTTTCGATGAACGAGTTATTTTTATAGCCGTCGAAATGACGGGATAAAACTCTATGGAATAAAATCATCGATTGTAAAGAGTACGATGATTGCATTCTTCTAATTAAGACCTGATTAAGAGCTGGTTTGCCGATCATGCACTGACATTCTATTTTTCCAACGATGAATGGATGCGCTGACGCGAGACGTTTCCTTAATTATTGGTAATTACGAGCTTTTGGCTCGTGAGTTCATAACACGACGACTCATGCTCGTCTTCGTTTAAGTCGCATTCTTCGGATGCGCGAACATCTTTATTTTTCCCTTCTCGAGTTGACGGAAATATATTGCTCTCTCACGCATAATTATTACTATCTATTCTAAAAATCAATATCTCGATGTCACTTAATTGCTCTTGCAGTTACGCGATAATATCAATTGAAAGAAAAATCGTACGTGGGAAGCAGAAAATGCACATTAGTCCTGGATATGGGAAGATACCGGGATGGGAAAACGGAACATGCGAAGTGAACGATGCAAGAAAGCGTTTTCTCATAGCGCGCACCTGTTACTTGTATGCTCGGCAGGTGCTAAATTGTGTTTGCGAAGATTCCAACTCGGGATGCGCGTGAAGAGTAAAAATATTGGGATTGTTTTTCTAGATTTCATTCAAATCTACGCAAAAAAATTATTATCGACGAACGGAACCGGATATAACAGAGATTGTGCATAAATAATGTGCATATAATAATAATAATAATAATGATGATGATTACGATGATAAGAGATGCGGAAGTTTTTCGATACATTATTTATTTTATAGCGATTTATACATTTATCTTGTATTATTTCAAAGAAACTTTTCCATAATTTGATATTTTATGGAAAATTAATTTTAAAAATGAAAATTTGGTTGATACTAACATAAGCTAAAAAAATATTAGGAGAATTATTTAACTCATTGAGTTTTTAATATTAAGTCTTTTATTAATTAAATTACAGTTTAAATTTTTACTAATAAGATTAAATTTGAAAATAAAATTGTATCTATAATGATACATTTATGGAAACGGTTTCTTTATATGACTTTTAAATTTACTTTTCAATTTCATTTTATTAATCGAATGTATCAATTTGTTGCAGTACGGTAGTACAGAATCCTGTGACAAGAACAATGATTGCAAAGGAGTACACACGTGGGCAAATGGATTTGAAAAGCTGCTGGAAGATCCAAAAGGCTTGCAAACATTTGCTGTAAGTTTACAGTCCCCACCATTGAATATTTTATGTGTCTTATACATATATATGTATTTGAATATTATACCAAGTGCAATTGTTCTTATTCAGGAGTTTCTCAAGAAGGAGTTTAGTCATGAAAATATATATTTTTGGGCTGCTTGTGAGAGATACAAAGATACTAAAGACGCTGGTATGCGCCGTCGATTAGCATGTCAGATATATCAGCGTCATTTATCGAATACAGCTGCCGAGCCAGTAAACGTCGATAGTCATGCATCAGGACAAATTACCCAAGAATTGCTCGACGAAGCACCCGCTGATTTATTTCTGCAGGTATATATTCCGGATACCCATTTAAAGTTATTTTTTTATTTTTTATAAAAAGAAGACAGCAAAAAATAATCACTGATGTTTTTGTTAAAAACGAATTAAATATTACAATTTTCTCTCTTTTTTGCTCCAATGATTATATGTATGTATTAGCTTTGGGGCATTTAATTCTAACAAAAGCATCAATCACCAAATTATATCGTCATCGTATATGCAAACTTTTATATTTATATCTTAATCATGCAATAATGTATGAATATATTTGTGGATATATATTTTATTATTGTTTTTTAATAAATAACTGTATCTTAATCAATGTATTGTTGTCTTAGGCTCAGAAACAAGTATTCAACCTAATGAAGTTTGACAGTTACCCAAGATTCTTGCGATCGGAACTTTACCGTGCCTGCTTGGAAGCAGGGAGCGCTATAGTTGACACAGAGGACTGTGATCTACATCTTACAAATTCACCCAGTGTAAAATTGAAAAAGAGTCATTCCGATGCAGAGGATCGTTGCCGGAAATCGATTCTTCCTTGGAATAGGAAAAATAGGTGAATTATTTGCAATAGAATGTCCCTGTCGAAAAAAACACAAATTTTACCTGTGGAACGCATCTAATTTATTTTATCATGCATATTTTTAGATCTAAATCGAAGGATCGTGGTGAATCCGAGTACAACAAAGTCCCTAGTCGAAGTGAGACTATATATAAAAGTTTTACAACCATCAAGAGAGACACAGAAGGTAACAATAATGAAGACAGTGTGTCGATCTCCAGTAGTCGGTCATCATTAGCGTCATGGGATTTGGCATTACGGCAGTCGTTTAACAAACATGTAAGTATTCCGTTGCAACCAACGTAGCATCCCAATAATCGTTTTTAATGAATATGAAATGATTATTTGCATATGTTGATGATGAGATTGTTACTTTTTATAACTATTGAATATAAAAATTTGAATTATGGAATGTAGATGCTAATACTATAACTTGAAGAAAATTTAAGTGTACTCGAGCATAACTGTTTTAGTAAATCTTTTTAGTTATATTATAAGTTATGTTAAAATGAGTGTGTTGTGTGTAAGTTTATTTTTGGTAGAGAATGTATTTGATAACTTATGTATATTTTGAGAAAATGATTATTATTATTGTTATATAAAAATGAGGTGAAAGAGAGTAGTATGTTGCATATTAATTTTTCCACCAACTAAGATATATTAACTGTCAGAGTATATATTTACACTGCTCTAATTTTGGTTGTTGTATACTTTCTTCTGGAATATTCCAGATGTACTACGTAAACATTTAATAACAAGTTTGTTAGAAGAATTAGAAGTAAAAAAAGATCTAACATCAAAATGTGAAAGTTATGATAAACAACTCTTAAAATTTCACAGCATATAGTGTTTTAGACAAAGCCTCATATTTTTATAAATTTTGATTTACAAGCTTAGATTGCTTTTTATTCAAAATAAATTTTACTTTAAGCATTTTGGATTTTCATTTTTTAACGCGGCAAAATAAATTTGGCGTTGAAAGATTGCGTGGTGTAGATTATGTATTGCGAGACAATATTGAGCTTATTTCTCGTGTCAAAGTCGCGCAGATTTTGAGGTGCACGTAAATGCACATGCGTAAGCGAATATGTGTGTTCACTTGTAGTCTCTATCCTCTTGCGATGGTCAAACAAACGAAAAGAGAGAGGCTCGCAGCAAATGTACGGGATTGTGTCGAGTAATATTGCCCGATGGTTCCACTACAGTAGTGACAACTAGCCAAACCGAGAGCATTAAAGACGTGGTAACACGCCTCCTTGATAAGCGAGCCCTACGATATTCTAATTATGACGTTCTGATATTAGCAACAGATGAGGTTTGTGCTGCCTTCTACTTAATTGCAAGCTTCGAAAGATGCAACTTACCTAATGCATACATTTTTTGTGTTTTTGCAACGTTTATAATGCATATATGTAGTTTATTTGTTCGTGATTTTTTACATTAGCTTGCACAAGTTAAGTGTTGAATGCGTAATGCATGAATCTTTGTTATTTCGTTCATATTGTATAATTTGGTGGGGGAAAAGACAAAAATATTGCGTTTTGTAATCACGTTTGCATGCATATTTAAATCAGGGATATAATACTTGATATTGCACATACATCAGAATTCACATTTTTAATTGTTATTGATGAATTATTTGCAACGATTATATAATTCATTATATTTTTCTTGTTTGCAGATGGTAGACACGAAATGTTTTTCGTCAGTATTAGCAGGCCAAGAAGTAGAGGTTGTTCTTACGAAAGTTCTAAAGGTAGAATTGCCCTCGCGAAGAATAATAAGCGTTATCGCTCACAAGGGAAAAACTCTGAAAGAAGTATTGAGGCCTCTTCTAAATAAATATGGCTTCAATCTAGACTTAATTAGTATTTGGAATGAAGGTCATTGTGTTCCTATGGATATTATGGCCATTAATGCCCCTACGCGCCTTATTGTAGTGGCAAATGAAGAAGGTTAGTATATTTAATAAAGGCACTTAATTATTATATATATGAATAAGTATTAATATTTATTATTATATTTCTGAAGATAATATCTATATATATTTACATATGATTAATTTTCTAAAACAATTTTTATGAAATATTACACATATTATTAAAAAAAAATTATACATATATTAAATATGCATTTATTAAATACATTAATTAGTTATCAGAAATAACAAAAAAAATGGTTGAAATTATAATATATATATATATGTGTGTATATATATACACTTGAAATAATAATTTGTTGCAGTTTATTTTTTAACGAATAAAAGAATAAAATGATAATTTAAGTACTAATTAAAATATTGTTATTCTTACAGATTTTCAACGAGAGTTACATACTGCCAAATATTTGGATGAAGTACCACATGTACAACCAACTTTGGATGAAATTACTAATAAAGTATTTGAAGAGTTATTAGTTGGGAAAAGTAGAAATAAATATCAGTATAGCGAAGGGTCATGTAAGGTAGGTAAAACAGTATCTGAAGCAAGAGAATATGCAACCTTCTGTTATGTAGCAGTTTATTTTCAACGTCACTTATATTCTTTATATTTCATTATAGTCTGATGATCAACGCTCCGAAGGATCTTCTATATTGTCTAGTAAATTTTTTCTTCGAGATTCGACAATCCATGGAAAGAAGAAGGTAAATTTATATTCGATATTACCAAATAAAAATTCAATGGTTTATGGCATACAAGTAACTTACTTCTGTTTCTTTTATGATTAAGATAAAATCTAAATACTGCAATATAACTGAGAAAGGTAATACAAATGATTGTGTACATGAGGGAGCGCCCGTTAAATCCCATCCTCCGCTTATCGCAAAGTGGCGTAATGGCGTAAAATTGCAACTTCCAGGCCGATTCGACGGAGACGGTGAGTTAATAATATGTATAAATCTCTTTTTTATATATCTCCTACGGAAGAAAATTATTATGATTGCAATTTCAAAGATTTTATCGAATAGATATATATATATAATTATAAAGAGATAAATATTTGTAGTGTCAAAAATTATTTATATAAATTAATATCAAATTGTCGAAAGATAAAATTTTTTATTAATTAAGATGACAGAATTCTATTTCAATTGTAATTGTTTTTCTCGTTACAGATTTATACGAAGGATTAAAAAGAGCGCAACGGTCGAGATTAGAAGACCAGAGAGGGACGGAGATAAACTTTGAACTACCGGACTTCTTAAAGGTACAGTTATATGTGCGTTTTATATATATGTATGATATTTAGTTTATACTTTAACGTATATTGGAATTTGATAGAGCAGTACAGAAGTTATGTGTGTACATAAGCTCTTAAAATCTCTATATCATATATGCGTTTCGACTCTTAAAGCTATGAAATTACTGATCAGAACAAGGAGAATGGAAAACCGTCGGATTCTAACAAGATGCGAAGAACCCGAGTGGTGTCGGCCAATTGCGAGGGCACTACAAAGTTTTACGATTCTAGCGAGGATAAGCAAAGTAGCTGTAGCGGGTACGACTATCCCATGCACGTTACGAATGGAGTTTTGAACGAACGATTCTCAGGCTTGGTTACAGAACCTTTGAGTAAGTGCCTTGACAACTCATTCACTCTAGATGGCGATAGAACATTGGTGGACGCAGATCAGACAATTATTGAGAATTGTACCAATTCCCAATCGAAGATTTCGTGCTCGGAAAGCTACGATACCGACATGTCTCGCGCGAAATTATCGAAACCTCCGCCGTTACCGCCGAAACCTAAAAATCTTGTTGTGAATGTGGTGAAAAGCGGATACATAATGTCTCCCAAAACTTTGCAAAGGCCCAATCATGTGATCGAATGAAGCAATCTGAATCCTGTAAAGAGAAGAATATTTTTTAATTAACGTAATGTTTAGTGTACATCGTTTTTTATGTGATGCCACGATTTCGAATACGACATGGTAAGATACCTGAATAATACCTTTATTATGTTTATGAATTATTAGAAAAGATAATTCCCTACATTAAAGTGTTTACTGGTGTGTGGACAAAAGATGTAGGGCTATTATTAAGTAATCGCATTTTCCTATTATGCATTTTTCTATCATATATTCACATCCCACAAATTAGATTTTATCGCGAAAACTTTCTGCCCTATTTGTGCCTTGACCCTAGAACGCTACCGTACATAAATTTTATATGTATCATTTGTAATAACATATGTCGATCTTTTAAGGATTTTTGTTATTTTATTATTTTTTACATCGTGTACAAAATACTTATATATCGCGTTTACTTCATATTAATATTGCATATAATATGTGATTTGTTTCATATTTCATTGATTTTTATTTTTAATCGATAAAAAATGAATAAATGAATATGATTTTTTTTTATTATACATAACATTTATGTATCGATAGTAGTGATATATATATAGTACTGAATGACGATATAGCGTTCTAGAGTTAAATTAGATAGTAAAACATGTATTTATAACATATATTTTATATATTCAAAGAATTTTTACCATCAAATTTTCTCTCTCGACCAGAAAAAAAAAAATAAAACAAGGAAAGTCTACGTGATGATAATGCGCTTATTAGATAAATACATAAAAACAAATACTAATAAAAAGAAATACATTCCAGAGGTGCGTAGCAAAATAGAGAAAAGAAAACGATTTATTTTACAGTATTTCGAATAACTTTATTAATTAAATATGTTTCTGAAAACATTTATGCTCTGTAGAATACAGTGAAGCATTTTGAATAATATTGAGGTTTATTATATAGACTATGTGGGACTCTATATTGTACATTTGAGCATTGATGCGCGCTGAGAAGAGCTTTAAATGTATAGTGATACAAAAATGTTTTAAAAGTTGAAAATTGATATTAACTTTTTGAAATAGCTCCACTGTACTCTACAGTAATTTTGATACAATTATCGTACTTTACGCACACTTATGGAAAAAAATGTGCATATATTGCTTTATAACAATGAAAATATTCATTGTAAAGAGAATTATGTAAAGCAATTTTATTATGTATTGTATTGGTGGGGTGGAGCACCTATCGTGACACATGCTAATATATTGTATTATTTGACTACCTGAGAGAATTAGATAAACTAATAAATTTTCTAAATTTTATAGAAAAGCCTCCTTTTATGTTTTGACTGCAAGATGTTGCGCCGTCCTTAATCCATTTGCTGTTAAAGGTAAAAAAAACAAGCAATCTTCCTTGTATTATCCTTTACATTTTCCATTGAGAATGAGTATAACTGATTTTTATTTTTACACAATTTGTGTGTTGAAAAATATAAAATTATATAAAAATGTACTATAGAGCGAAAGCAATACCAATATAAATCATAAATATTTTTTGGCAAGATTACATCAGAATGAAAGTTTTTAATTTTTTGCATTGGTTATTATGAATTAATTAAGCTATATATAAAATTTGTATAGAAACGAAAATATTAATTCTGGATTATTCCTACAGATGAAAAAGCATCCACATGGGTAAGTGCAAATAAACACCATTATGTAACTACATATGTTGATTATATCATATTTTAATTATAATAATTTTTAATATATGTTTTTAAAAATGTATAATATATAAAATATATTTAAGATATATATATATATTTTATTTTTTTTTTTCGGGATCTTTATAATCGCGGATTTATTTAATAGTGTCTTTTATATAATACATAATAAATATTTATTTTATACATATATATGTACACGAAACTATCGTTTAAAAAATAGAGAGGTATAATTAAAAAAAATATATAGTTATGGTACACACTGTGAAGTGTGAAAGAGGAGCAAAGAGTAAATATAACGAACGGTCGCATTTCCCCCACCACGCCAGCCTGTTTCGCGCCTTTTCTCGCCGGTCCACCCGCGCGCGCATTTCGATTCGCGCTTCTTGTCGTTGGCGCGACAGTGGTGACTTATCATACTTGACTAACGAATTAGACGAACGGCCAGTTGTCTCGTATCACGAAGCATAAGTGTGCTCCGTACGTCCGGAGATGCGTAACGTACAACATATACGTTGCTCATCGGAGTGTTGTTGGTTATTTCGCTCGCGCAATCGCCGGTTCTCGCGCGGGAAATAATCATTGTTGTCGCGACACCGAAAGTGAGAGAAGCACCAAATAAATTATTCCAATATTTATCAACCGGCGTGAAGTGGTGTGCAATAGCTCCAACGTCGCCGATCTCGAGCGTCTTTAAAATAATCCTGTTGCATTTTATAAACACACGTAAGTTTTTCTACTCAATTAACGTTTCCCTCTGCTTTTCCCGCGTTTTTGAGGGTTATAAGGTGCATCGGAAAAAAAATAGCGTTTTCGCGCTTTGAAGGACCGCCGGTTGACGTTTTCCCGACGAGAATTTATCGAGAGGTATAATAACGGCGTTATTTATCTCGAGTTGTGTAGTGTCGAATCACTCTTAATCATATAACAGTGACATTCAGCCATAACAATCTGGTTATCAGTGGGTACAAATAAATAACATGCAATAATTCTTTGAGAGTGAATTCCGAGTAGATTTTATCTCAATTTTATTTCGACAAGATATTTAATGTTGAAGGTGAAAATATTTTGCCACCTTATATACATATATCGTAGACAATTTTTTAATTAATAATTTACAAAGAAACTTTCTCGATTTCGTAATTAAGAAATTTATTGATACACTGTGAAAGAAAATTATTGATATACTCTTATACATCGTGTTTCACAATTAATGTGTGTGATTTTAATTTTAGCTCCTCTTCACATATTTATAATTCAAAAAATATCTGTATGTTGCCATTTTCAGGGTATAAATCGATTCTAAATTTCTCGCGAAATATATCATTAAAACTGGGATTGCGAATTGTGACACACGCTATATATCTTCGAGGTCGTAGAGATGAAGTCCTACGAGGATCCGCTTCCGGGAAACGTTGCTCACACAGATCGGCTTCAACGGCTTCGACAAGACACGCGTGTATTTTTATCTTAGGATATCACATTAACAATTAACAACAGAAAAAATAAACATACAATAAATTGCGATAAATTGTTTTAATTATTCTTATTGAATGTACAATTTTCAAGAGAAAAATAATTTATTATAATTATATTATAATAATAATTATTATTATATATTAATAAAAATTATATACAACAAGAATGACGAAAGCGCATACGACACGAGCGAAAGTAACAACAGCAGCGCAAATGGTCTATGAGTACCGCGACACGACACGAGCGAGAATACGACACCAGACAATATCATACGAGAAATTATGATACGAGAAATTAGGATTGATTGCTATCGACCAGCTCAAATCGTCGTCAGCGGCAGACTGAATAACGACGGAACAGAGTCGCGGTCGACCGATTTCCATAATAGGAGATTTTCGGCACCGAATGTTCGAGAATCTAGGTGTTTGTCACACTTTTTCTTTGTTTTGATCACGCGATCACGCGCTGATCGGCTGATCGCGACGATGTTTATTCTCGCTCGTGTCTTGATTGCGGCTCTTACCGGTCAGATTTGTCGGTTGAATTTACAGTTTAAATTTATCGATTAAATTCAACGTCTCAAATATTATATAATAATAATAATTATTATTATATTATAATTTTGAATGTAAAATTATTGTGCACGTTAATTTAATTATATTATTTTAATTGTCTATTTGACGCTTGTGTAATGATTAGGATACGTGATTAGCATATTTTAACAAACTAGTTCTAGTGGAAGCATGTATTACAAGAATTCTTGTCATTTTCAGTGATCAGTTAAAATCAAAACAATGTTAGATATCATAGGAACGTCGTGTAAACAAATTCGAAGGTCGCACGTAGCAAATACCTCACTATTCAATAAACGCGCACAAGCATTGTTGATATAGGTCAGGTATATATACACACGTTGTTCTTACATATTTAGAGTCATCTCTCTAGAAAAATATGCAACCAATTAGAAATATTTAATCCGTATTTTATCATTTGCTCTTTTACGACAGTGTTACTTTAATTATGATTTTCTCAATATAAAAATATTAAGTAAAAGTGCAAAAAGAAATATCTGAGCTCAACAATGTGTTGTAATTGTAGTATATTTTTGTCTCGCGTGTCGATATTCTCAAAAAGGCTTTTTCGCGGACACCTTGTATGCGCGACCACTGCGGAGACTAATGTGGTTGAGATCGCATAACAACGGCGGGTTCTCTTCTTAAAGAGACGTCAATTAGACGTCAATGGAAAGCTATTGTGTATTCTTGTTTGATCGTAATTTATTTCGCTCGAAAAATTGAGATGTACTAACGTAGATATATATATACATTTAATAACTGTTGCAATAATACTGATAAATTTAATTTTAATGAAAATTTTATTTATTCTCAACACCTCGTTGCGTAATTAAATTTCTTTCGGCGATTGATGTTAATGTCGATAAATATTTGTTGGAATAATCAAATAACCGAGATGTTAATTATATATTTAGTGGCATATCTCCTTCGGCCCGGATATCGACGAGAAATCGCTACCTTGACTTTCCTGCGAGAAGTCAACAACGTCGTCTAAGACATCGATTCGAGACATCGCATTTCATTTGCCTCAATTCGGAGGAATCGCTTATACAAGAGAGCGATTCGCGCTGTCACATATCCACGCAAAGTAACATCATCATCGAGATGGAGAAAAGATCCTCTCCCGAACGGCTCAACGAGGGATCAATTGGAATGGACGTATCACCGATGTCGAATATCGTCAATGACCTGTCTAAATCGGTATTGGACTCTGGTGGTACAGAGAAGCGTTATCTTCAACGTTCGCGAGGTACGTCACAATTATGAATGCATATTATTAAGTTGATGCGCGAAAAAGACTTGTGAGATAGATTTGACAAGATAAAATTGCAATTACAAAATAATGACTATTTTTGTTTCGATACAATTTTTCATCCAACAAGATGATCCAATACGATTTTATTTTTGTCAAAAACTTTGAATTAATAGCTGTATTTAAAACGGAACTTGAGAGGAAAATGCGCGCGCGCGCGTGCCAAGGACCTTTCGCATCAACTTGATAGACATATATTGTTGTTAATATAAAAATGATTGCCAAGATATAAGAATGAGTAAAAATGTGCACGCGCAAACATACGTGTGTGATGATTAAAATATATTATAATATAAAATATATCAAAATAATTATATGATAAAAAAATAATTACAAATAGATAAAATATCTCTAAATAATACATGTTATGCGGGAATCGATTAAATTCGAAATACAGACTAATTAGCATTCGAACAATATTTGTAATTAATAATTAATAAAATACTAGTAATTTGCAATCTTAACGGATTTTTTTTTTTTTTTTTTTTTAAAAATGGGGGGGGGGTGGCGGGTTAATTATTGAAA